CACAAAGACTCAAAATTGAGACTTTACTTAAGCGATATTAATGCGCTTACCACTTGAATCAATCCCTGTTGATATATATATTACTAACAAATATATCAAATTATTTAAAATTAAGTTAAAAATATTTAATTAGATGATTGTAGATATAAATTATTTTTTAATTTTATCAAATAATTTCATACATTTTCAATAAAAATAAATTAATATATATATATATATATATAATTATTAGTAAAAAATTAAAATTATTACTGAAAATAAAAATTATATATATATATATATATATATATATATATATATATATGAGATTATTAAAAAATTAAAATTATTACTTCTTTTATTAACTTTCTTTTCTTCTACCATTTTTTACATTATTTTATATTCCATATGTTGCTGTCGGACCAATCAGGGTTGTAGTCTAGTCTAGGGATGGCAAACGGGCGGGTCGGGTGCGGATACCCCATCCCCCATCCTCATACCCATCTAATATTTTTCAATCCACCACCCACCCACCACCCATGATGGGTACAAATTTTCAAATTCACACCCGCCCACGCGGGTACATTTTCAAATACATCCTCACACCCACTACTCACTAGCGACATACCCATCTAGACCCGCCTGACAGTAAACTAATGTGATGTTGGAGTTGGTTCCCAGACAGTTCGTGATGGGGTAGCAACGCATGCTTCAATTTGTCAGAGGAGTGGCTCTACGAATGTTATGGAGACAGATTGTAGGGAGCATGTAGTCGCAGAGCTAGATTGTTGAGTTACTTTCGATGTTAATGCTCATAGTGCGCCTAATATGGGTTTTGAGGGGCTAAAGAACATGGAAACTACTGTTTTTGATGTTAATGCATATAGTACGGCTAATTTGTGTTTGGATGGGCAGTATGGGCTAAAGAACATGGAAAGTGACGTGGTTAGTGGGATTATGGGTTTAATCAAAGAGCCGAATATTTCTCTAATTAAAGACCAGATTAAAGACTAAATATCCTTAATATTTGGTTAAATTATATGTTATATATTATACAATATTAAAATTTATAAATTAGTCTCTAAAATTACACTTAAATTTATAATGGTCCAAAATTTAATAGATATTTAGCTGGGCGGGCGGATGCGGGGCGGGTAATGTCTCAAACCCATTACCCGCCCACCACCCACTACGGGTACCACTTTATAAATCCACACCCGCCCACTACCCGTTAAAATTATAACCATCCCCGCTCCTATTCAAACGGATACGATAAGGAATCCACGAAACTGTATCCGTTTTCCATCCCTAGTCTAGCCCAGTGTTTTGAGTGTTGATGATTTTCCCATAAAATATCAGTACGAACCCCACCCACCGTTTTTGCGTGAATCTTTCCTCTAATACTAATTTTCAATCTAATATGATGGTGTTTAGTGGAAAATAAAATAATTAAAATTTAAAAAATACCCTTCATTTATGTTGCGACACATGTCGTAATATGAATAGATGATTAAATTTATTAAATTAAATTAATAGAATATATAAGTATTTTGTCATGTTGAATTATGCCAATTTTGTTAACTATTACGTTAGCATTTTCCGTCAATGGTTAACGACAAGTGGCTTGATTGATAACAATTAAATAATTAGGTGGTCTGATTGACAAAATTGAAAGATTAATAATAAAAGTAAAATGACTACATAGGGTCAATAGTATAATTTACCCTAATTAATATTAATTATAATAATTAAAACCATTCATTTTTAGATACTATTTAATTTAATTAAATAAATTCTTTTTTTAATTTATCTTTTAAGTTATAAAAGTAAAAAAGAATAATTCTAAGAATAATTTAATTTATACTTAAAAGTGAAATTATTTTGATTTAAACAAATATTGAATCATCTTAATTCTATAATCTTCAAACTCTTATAAGTATACAAATCCTATATATATTAGATAAGTATATTGATTTTTTTTTAATAGATATTTGTAAGTTATTGAGAATAACAAACCATACAAGCATCGGTAATGGACGATGGCTCATTCAAAACCTCTTTAATCCTAATAGAAGAAAAAGAGTACCCCAAACCACAACATAAACATAGATGTAAACAATCAAGGAGAATAATCAAGGCTCATCCTTAAGAAAACACATTGAATATCAAACACCATCATCCAAAGCTACTCCAAAACCAAGTTCTAGGCAATAGCCAATTCCAAGGTAAAGCACTATAACCTTCCAGCAAAGCACGTTTAGACACATGAACACTAAGCCAAAAGGTGGTTACCAGCAAGATCCATTTGTAACATCGTGGTGACAGGCATTGAGCTAATAAGCGGGTGCCAGTCGGATCCAAATGCAGCAAACGTGGTGACAAATTAAGGCACCCAACCTTACCTGCGTCCGAGGAACAACTACTAACGAGTCTTCAAAAATCTGTCTACCTGCGCCTTTTCGAGAAGACTTATCAAATGTTAACCAAACAGCAACAAACAGTAGCCGACAGTCTTTCACACGTTAATCATCCATACGAATGGATGTTCTTTACTTAGACCTTCTTGAGCAAGCCAATGTGCTTCCATATTTCGTTCTCTATAAACAAACTTGACCATCCATTTGTTTTCATTGCAATACTCAGCAATTTCACGTACAACATTAACATGAACTGATGGGATAGAAGTGGGATTTACAATCCAATTAACAGTTGCAGCACAATCAGACTCAATGAGTAAGCAAGAGTTGACTCATCTAGAAGCACCAAATAACTCACAGGCTTCGAGAATAGCCAAAAGTTCTTCCCCCGCCAGGTTGGACAACCCAACAGGTCTAGAAAAGTGAATAAGAGTCACCATTATGGTCTCGGAGCAGGCCCCCGGTTTCGGTAAAACCAAAGCAATCCTTCACTGTCGCATCCACATTGAATTTTAGCTCGCCCGCTCAAGGAGAAGACCTCGAAGCAATTGCTGGACGCCAACTTAGTCTTTCTTTGAATGGCATATTCGCAGGGCACCTGATGAACTCATTAATAGATACTAAGGATTCCAGCCAATTGCTTTTGCACCAAAACCCAATTCTAGTCAAGGCAAGATCAAACAGTTGTGCTGCATTCCATAGCTTATTGTTGAAGATAGCTTCGTTTTGGGATAGCCAGATGGTCCATACAATACCCAAGAAGGCCAATCTCCAAAGAGGTTTTAGGGACAATTTAATTGGCAAAGAATCCCACATCAACAACAAGGCGTCTAAGGAGCTAGGACACACTAGTTTAATATTCCAACAGCAACACCAGGATTGTCGAACTTTCCACACAACCACACATTGGCAGAATAAATGAGAGGACGTTTCTAGATAATCTTTACAAAAGATGCAATGGCCCGAGTCCAACTTACTGACACCACGTTTTAAGAGCTCGTCGCGTTCTGAAATGCGATTCTGGACCGTTCTCCAAACAAAAAACTCGATCATATTTAATGATCCTAAAGTGTTTATGCGACTTTAAAAAATAAAGCTAGTCAGTAACAGTGTAACTAATATTGTGGTGAAATATTTTGAAATTTAAGTTCTACAAATGTAGGAATGAGTTTTGAGGAGGGAGCAAAGTAAACACAAGGAGGAGATTAAGTACTTTAGTAGTAAATTAATGGATAATGGATGTGAATATATTTTAGAATTGATTTATAAGTATTTTAGCTCAAAAGATGTATCTTGCCTATAAAAGGCACGCCTTCGTCATGCGCTTGGGTTGGGTCCTAACAACTTTTTATGTCTCGGTACATCTTACGCCTTTTAAAACTAAAATTAAAGGTTAAAGCATATATAACTTCAACGTCTTCGTTGAAAATGTTCCAAAATTCATATTGCCTGCACATGAATGTGTATCAGAACTCAACAGACAATAGAACATCTCTCTAAAAATGAACAATTAGGAGTAAATAAAATTCGATTCGACTCTAAAATTAATTTTTTTTTAATTTTGATTTATTCGAGTCAACTTGAATTATTGAGTCGATCTCTGAGTTTGACTCTAATCAAAATTTGAAATTTTCAAGTCACTCGAAAAATCAAAATTTTGGTTGAGTAGTTTAACAGTTTTACAATTAGTCCCCAATTTTCTATTTCTTTCAACTCCTTCATTTCAAGTTCAATTTTCACCAAATTTGAACTTCATGCTCCTAAACTATCATAGAATACATATCTACTTTCAATTTTTTTTTTTGATAAAAAGCTATTTATTTTTCAATTTAGTCCCTCATTTTTTCGTGATTTTCTTATTTCTTCAATTTATTCTTCATTTTAAGTTTGTTTTTTTTTTTGCCAAATTTGAACCACATGCTCCTATATAATACATGTGCAACTTCAATTCCTACTTCTTTTTTTACTAAAAATGTACTTTCTTTTTAATTTAATCATTTAACGTTGTATTTACTCAATTTGATATTTTGACTACATTTGTTTACAAATTATTTTTTCACATTAATTCATTGACTCTTTATACTCTCTCAATACTTTATCCTCAAAATACCTTTTTAAAATATGATAGTTTAAATATATTTTATAATTTTATATTGTATTTGATATATTAAATTATTTTAAAAATATGATAGTGTAACAATGTGAAAATAATATGATTAGAGAAAGTAAAAAAATCCAAACCAATTCGTACCATAATATTATTAATAACTATAATTAAATTTGCTTAGAAACTCGAATAATTTGAATCAAATTTCAAACACTCAACTTAATTAAAAAAATTATGTTAAGTTCGAATCATAAAATATGACTCATCAACTTGAATAACTTGAAATTTTTTATTATACTCGATTGAATACTCACCCATAGTAACAATCGTCAAAGTTTCCTTCAAGGGAAACAGGAAATGCAGAAAGGGCAACTTGATCACAATCGTCAAAATCTGCTTCAAGGGAAACAAGAAACGGAGAAAGGGCGAAAGAGGGATGATGAAGCTGGGATGAACAGCGGAGCTTCTTCGCCCAACTGGGAAATTTTACTAGCAAAATACGACGTCAAAAGTTACGAAGCATTTCTCACCTAGTTGAAAATCTATCAACAGAGCCAGAGCTGCCATAAGACATGCAAAGTACATTGAAAAAGAAGACTCCAACCCAAAACAACAAGTTCATGTTAACTACCTAACTTAAAAGCATCAACAAAAAGACCTAGGCACACCCCAGCTTTCCAATAGTTAACCATTACCACAAATGACTGCAATCTTCCAGTTCTTAAAGAAGGGGGCTTTCTGTACATAAGCATACCGATCCCCTCGATAGCAGCAACAACAATCCCGGCAACTAATACGTCCCAATCACCTGTTTGTCCAAGAATAGTTGCCAATGCATTTGCAGTATAGAATCCGAATAGGAGGAGAAATACCTTCATGGGAAAGTTCTTCCTTGTCGAGTTCAACTTTTCTAGTAGCTGTCTGCCACCTGCACTCACTATCCTGCCCAGTCGAGTACCACCGAGATCAGGGCTGTCACCATTTCCAGGAACCCCACCAGTGTCCAAGGCAAATGGTATTTTCCAACCATATCTTTTTGTTGAAGAACTGTTTTAAGGTGAGCAAAAAAAACACAAGTTGTTTAAAAGAGCATCTATTAACTAGCAAACAACCAGACATCAGCTTATTGTTAACAGTAACATAAAGTCACAGTGGGAAAAATCTTGCTATATAGTATCATTTCCAGAATCATTCATGGTCGTCCCTTTTGAGAATAGAATGCCTTCAGAAGCTCAAAATTTTAATAAAGCTCGAAGTTACCTCTTTCTGGGGAACTTTAAAGACCTTAAACCAATCTTTGAAGCTTGTCCACTTAAACTAGGCTCACTGCTCCACCTCTGGATTGCACAAGGTGCAAGAGTAGGATATGAACTTTCAAGGACATCATTCTCCAATATTGATAAACCTGTCTGCATATAGATTCTTCCCACTTGACAGGCCATCAACTGCAAACATAGAAACTATAAAATCAGTGTGTCAAAGAATAACACATCAAATGTTTTCTGCGGTTAATTTCAAATCACCAATTCCGACAAGCAAGACAACTTTAGTGTGTGCTCAAAATTCACAACACTCAGAAGGAGAAGGGATGGACCGCCTAAAAATTTTAAATTCCTATATATTTTAGATATTTTCTTTGTATTTTCTATTGAAAATGTATTTTTTTCATCATCTAAATTTTTATAGGTACATTTACCCTTAAAATTTTATAAGTTCGACATCCTTGCATAAAATCTTGCGTTTTAGAAACATGAGTAGGTCGCTACTTGCTAATAACAAATGTTGTTTTGATATGTAAATGAAAATGGTTAAGCCATGAGATTTGGCATTCAAAGGTGATCAGTGATCACTAGTCAGCTCAATAAATTCCATTGCTAAAAACAAGTTACCAAAAAAAATCCGAGATCCACTTTTATCTTATGATGGAAAAATGTTCTAAAGAATACTTATGCTGGACAGGGCATCAGAATTAAACCCAGAAATTCAATTGAGTAAAAGAAATTAAAGGAAACGAAAATGAAATTAAACTGAAACACAAACCTTGAATCTCTGTGAATGTTCTGACTTTGCAGTTTGGTAGCAGACTTGAGAGAGAGAGAGAGAGAGAGAGAGAGAGAGAGTGCAGTTAGAGCTTGGGCAATGGAAGAAATCGAAAAGCTAAAAAAAAAGCAGAGCAATTGAATGGCCCAAAGGGACAATGACAACCATATTTTGTTTGGGGATAGCATGGATTCGGGTACCCGACCTACTATCGGTTGTTGGGTCAATTCCATTCGGGCTCTATCGGTTGTATTGTTATTTAAAAAAACCATTTCTGTTAATTATTTACTAAATTGTTAACAATAGCAAATGCTTAACTTAAAACCTCTTTTTAGATTGTGAGTTTAAAATTTATTAAGAGTAAAATTTTATTTAAATTTTTTCTCCTCTAACTAAAAATTATTTTTAAAAATATTATTTAATAAATAAAAAGGGAAGGGATAATAATTTAATATTCAATTAAAAAAACTAAATGCCAAAATTAGAAGAGTTTACTATTCGATTTTAGTCAAATTAATTGTTTGAAACAAAATTTATTTTGATTAATTTTTCGGTTAATTAGATTTATATTGGTTAACAGCTAATTTTTTTAAAGTTTGGTTATTGATTAATTGTGTTTGAAAATATTAATTAATCGAATTAATTAAAAATATTTTTTAAAAAAATTACCCTAGAATATGTCCACCGATGAGCTTGTCAAGCTCTTCCCTGCTCGTGCTCGTAGAAGGTTCCAAAGGGGTCTCAAGAGAGAGTCGATGGCTTTAATTAGGAAACTCCAGAAGGCGAAAAGGGAGGCCCCAGCAGGTGAGAAACCAGAACAAGTGAGAACCCATCTACGGAACATGATAATTGTACCCGAAATGATTGGAAGCATAGTTGGTGTGTACAATGAAAAGACATTTAACAAGGTTGAAATCAAGCCTGAAATGATTAGCCATTACCTTACGGAGTTTTCCATTTCGTACAAGCCAGTTAAGCAACACCTTTATCATGTTAGCTGAATCTTATCCATAAAGTCGGGGCATTTAACCAATTGTCTTAGAGGGACAACTCAAGCTTTATTGTATAAATATTATAATCACCTTTATGAGGCTAGTTGAATTTTATCCATAAAGCCAGGGCGTTTAACCAATTGCTCTAGAGGGATATTTCAAGCTTTATTTATATATATAATATTATAATCTGGGTATACGGATCCAATTTCGTAAGTTTGTCAAGAAGAACCTGTTATAGTCTAGGTGTTTTTTAAAGTTAATAAATCTTATCTTTAGAGCTCAATTTTCAAACAACTAACCTAAATTAGATTTGCTTACTCGACTATTCCATCTGTGAAGATCATTATCATCACTGAACGTCTTAAACAAAAAGTATAGCATTTGTCATATGCAAACGATGCCCCATGTTGTCCGCACCTATGCACATCTAAATACCAAGCCTTATGAAGGGAGAAGGCTACATTGGTTATTTGCAAGAGAAGGGTACGGTGTTTGAGCGCATTTTCTGGGTAAGGTCAAAAGTCATTGTTTTATCAGTTTTTGATCATGTTAACTTGTCAAAGATATATAACTCATAATCATTTACAGAGTTTTTTTAATTCAGTTGATATTCAAAGAATTGCAAGTTTGCAATTGTGATTCATTGCTTAACATCTTTAAAGTAACATAAATTTATTTAAAAGTCCTTACAAAAACTTGAGAAAAACTTAAAAAACAAATTCAAACAGAATACCTCAAATGATGAAATGGTTTTCCTCACTTGGATGCCCCCAAGTTGTTGAAGTTGATCCAGTTCTGGTTACGCATCTTCTGTATGACTCTCTTGATTATGTAACAGTTCTCAATAATGTGCCTTGGGACACCACCGTAATATTCACAATGAGCATTCTCATCATACCACTTGGGGTATGGGGGCTCATGGATTCTATCGGATATGGTGACACTATGTGGGTATCAAGAAGTTGCTGATAAAGCTCTTTGTAGGTCATGAGAATATGGTCGAAATGTTCCTTTTCCCTCCTAGGTTCTCTGGAATATTGTTTAGAAGTACCTGACGGTACAACTGCATTTAATTTTGGTTTGGAGTTGTAATACCTTTATTAGGGTGGTAGGTGTTAACGTTGTTAATCTCCCCATCTCTTTCCTTTATAGGAGGTTTCTTACCGGCCTCTCCATCCTTTATCTTGCCTTGATTTATGGCCAACTTGATCATTTCTCCGGCCATAACTAAGTCCGAGAAGCTTCCTGTTGTGATTGCAACCAGGTGTCTGATGTATGGAGCCTTCAGGGTCCGTACAAAAAGCTTCTGGGTTTCCTTTTCATCTAAGGGCGGATGAACTTATATAGCCAAATCCCTCCATTTTTGTTTGTATTGCCTGAAACTCTTGTTATGCTTCTTTTCCATGCTTTGTAGCATAACTCGATCTGGCCTCATGTCATTGACGTGCTTGTATTGTTCTAAAAATGACTTGGCCAGGTCCTTCCAGGTCTTGATATATGATCGGCTTAGCTAGTTGTACCATCGGATGGTTGAGCCTGATAGACTCTCCTGGAAGTAATGGATCAGGAGTTGGTCGTTTCCTCCATATCCTGTCATTTTTTGGCAGAACATGGTGATGTGAGCGGATGGGCAACTATTCCCGTCAAACTTCTCGAATTCCGGGGACTTGAATTTCGGAGGAAGAACTAAGTCTGGGACTAGACTGAGTTCCACGGCATCGACTCCATGGTAATCATGGTCTCCTTTGACTGCCTTCATCTGGTCCTCCAATTGTTTGATTTTTTCCTCCATCTTCTTTTCTTTGTCCTCTTCGTCCAAATTCGGTACATGGTAATAACCTGGATTGTTCTTAGGGTTAAATACAACGGTTTGTATCTTTATAGTAGATGGAGTCTTTGCTTTTACGGCATATAAGTCCCCTTGAAGTTTGGGTAAGATTCCAGGTGTGACAACCACTTGCGGGGTAGGTAGTATAGTTACCCCTTCCTGTGAACCTGTCCTAGGCGTACTGGTATGTTGTAGGCCAACAAACTTGGCAACAATCTGATCAACCAATAACTCTTGGTTATTTGTTATTGTATCCAGAGTATTTCGACTGCTCCGGTTTATCTTGTCTTCCAACTCTCTCTAGAGCTTCAACATGTTCTCCTCGATCTGAGTAATTTGGCTTCCATTTTCTTCTTTTTCAAACGGGTGTTATGCGGATAGGGTGTGTCCAACGCTTGAGGCGGAGTGTCCAATATTTGCTCATTTTGATGAGACATTCTTCCATTAGTTAATGTGAATGCACAGAAAATAACAAAATGCAAAATATGTCTAAATGCATGATGCATGAAATGTCTGAGGCATTGATCCAAAAAATGTGTCTGTTGTTATAAATAATTCTTATTGGGGACAAAAGTCTTACGTCTTTAAGAGACAAAAAACATTTTGATGGTATAGTTCTTGAACAGCCTCTGACAAGTTGATTCGTCTTCCATCTTTTTTCTGTCACCGATTGAATACCCTGTCACACGTTTTTGGTGGATCAACACCCCTTTCGAATGAATGATGCAAAAGATGTAAAATAAAATAAAAGAGAACAAAAATGAAAAGAGTTAGTGAGGTAAACAATAATCATGAAAATAAAAATTCTACCCCACAAGATATTTACCCCACATGCTTTAATTCCTACCTGAACATGATCTCTATCCCACAAGTTTATTTTGAACAAGTCCTAACCACATATATTTCTAGTTCACATGCTTTGGACATAAAATAAGGCAGGAAATGAACTCAAATTAGCTTAGGGTTTGAAATAAGGTTTTGGGGTGGGCTTTAATTCCCTGTAATCTTCCGGTTTAGGTTCTAAAAAGGTACTCGAGTTCTCCTTGATGGTTCCCCCTTGGGCTTACCAGACCCTTAGTCCTAAGCTCATTACAAGCTTATGTGGACTAAGTTAAACTCGAGAGGAAACATTCCCTTATGCCCATACGGAGAATAAATTCACATGAAAGCATAAGGTATATGAATCCCGAAGGTTACTTGCTAGGCCCATACGGAGAATAAATTCCCACGAAGGCGTCACTTTCACCCCCCACTTAAAAAGGGTTTGGAGCTCGGGTATAGAGCCAGAGATAGAAACTTTTTCAAAAATCTGAAATCATTGAAAAAAAAATGGCAGCACAACTATTTATTTGAAAAATAATCAAAGGTAAATAATTGGAATCGAATGAATAAATTAAAATTTAAATTTACTACTTTCGCATAAAAATACAACTGAAAATTAATTCTGGCCTAACTCACTTACCTAGTCCCCAGTAGAGTCGCCAAGCTGTCGCGACCGCCTTTCGGGTGAGCCCATAATTGGGATTCAACTTGAAATGATTTGGGTTAGAGTCACCACTGATCACTTTAAAAACATTTAGGTGGATCGGACACCATCTTACCCGATATATGTTTTACCAGAAACGTGTCGGGTTCGGGAGTCGGTTACGGTTAAGAAATGATTAGCACCCTTGAACTGCCCTTTCGGTACCAATTAATTCGTCGGTTGTCTTTAATTAAGAAAATTGAAAAAAATTAAATTGAAATTTAAAAATCCGATTCGAATTGTTTACCTTTGATTGGTTTGAAATTGAACCATAAAAAGATAGAACTGTTAGATTTGTAGTGAAATGCGTGATCGAATTAAGATAGAAAATGCATAAATATGAAAATATTAAACAAAATGAAAAAGAAAACAAAGGGAAAAAACAAAATAAATAAAAATAAACGACTAAACCTAAATAAACAAAATGGTACAACTAAAAAAAACAAATTGCAATATATATATATAATAAAGTATAATATCTAAAAAATATAAATAAATAAATAAATAAATAATAAAAAAATATATGTATATATGATGATAATAGGAATATATATATATATAATTAAATATTTTTAAAAACTAACATAAAAAACTGAAAAAACAAAACTAATAAAAAATAAAAAAAGAATATATGTATATATATTAAAGAATAATATAAAATGAGATAATATAACATTAAATAAATAAAATGTCAATTTAACCTTAGAAAAGGACTAAATTGTAAATAAAAGGAAAATCGAGTGACAAATTCTAAAACATTTCGGGCCGAAATTGAAATTCTGGGGTAAATTAAGCCTTTCAAAAATAAGGGGACCAAAAGTGAGATTACCCCTTTTACCATTAAAAACACGCGGATCCCATGACCGGGTCAGGTCGAAATGCAGGTCGGGTCGCCCAAAAAATGACTTATTCCATCTCATTATACCCATTTCCTCAAAATAATACCCCTCATCCTCTCAACTCTCTCCCATGGGCGATATCCGGCCACCATCCGGTGGCTTAACCCTGCCGTGCAGATGCCACCTCCGACGGCTGGGAAGAACCAAAACACCTCTAAATGCCCCCTCGATCCCATAAACACGAATCAGTGGCCAGATTATCTTGAATCGAGCCGAGTTGTCGTAGATCTAAGGGAGAAAGCTTCAGCCCTTACCTTTACCGATGAGTCTTCTCGGCTTCCTGACGCCTCTTCCTTCGACGATATCCTCGTTTTTGCATTGATTTTTTTTACTTATTTTGCTGTGGGGCTTCGACCTTTGGTTGTATTTGGTTATGGCTCGTTTGGTATCTCTCTGTTGTGTTTGATGGTTGTTCTCGGTTTACTGTTCGTTCGTGAGGTTCTGGTACTGCTTTTTGGCTATGTTCCTATGTAGTTTTAGTGGTTTCGTCTCTCGATGCCTTGGTTTACTGTGGGTTCTGTGTGTTTGTTGGTCGATGTCCCCTCTTGCATGGCCTCACCGGGGTATTTATAACCCCCTCGGTGAAGGTTGTTTCCGATGATAACGAGGTCGGTTCCCCTCGACGTTCACGTGGCCGGGATTCTCGGGATGGTGCAGTCTCGATTTTCCCAGCTGGCCGACTCGCACCTGACTCTTTATATCTTTGATTGTGCTATGTTGACTTGCATGACTAGGGTTTTGCAAACCCTAAGCTATACCGGGCTGGGTCAGGCCCAAACCCAATTGGGCACCTACTGGACCGTTTCATTGGACCCTTGTTGAACCTACAAACAAAATAAAAAACGTTAATAATAATAAAACAAAAAAACAAAAAAAGAAATAATAAAAATAAAAATAATATATTATATTATATATAAAAAAACTATTTCTAAAGAACTATATAATATATATATTTTTTCAAAAATATTTTAAAATCTATATATTATATATTTTAAAAAATGTTTTCAAAATTATATATTATATAGTTTTCAAAAATGTTTTAGAAATATATTATATATTTTCAACATGTTTTTTAAAAAATTATATGATATATAAATGTTTTCAAAACTATATATTATATGAGTTTTTAAAAAATGATTTCAAAAACTATATATTATATAAGTTTTCAAAATGATTTTAAAAACTATATATTATATATGTATTTTTAAAGACCATTTGCAAACTATAATATATATATATATATAAAATAACAAAATATGGACGAAAATAAGTGTACAAATTTCAGATATGGTGAAAATATGAGCGATTACATAATTTGGAAAGGGAATAGGGAGGGATCCTACTTGGTGAAGTCATGTATTAGTCTGTTTTCAATCTCACGGGAAGTGGATCAATTCTGGAAAAATATCTTTGGCAGGGGTTCGTTCCACCTAGGGTGGAGACCTTTATGTGGCAAGTAATTCACAGTAAGTTGGCTGCAAGGATAGCTTATTAAGAAAGGTGTTCATGGGGATACAGACCCTTTGTGTCCTCTGTGTAGTCTTGAATTGGAAATACATCTCACTTATTCATTTCATGTAGAGTTGCTTGGAATTTATGGAATAATTTTATGCAGATTTTAAAAGTGTCCTCGTTCCTACACATGGACGTATTAGCTTTTTTAGTAGCATGGGGAGATCTGGTTCCCCATTCATTTATTTGGAGTTTTATCCCTAGGGTCATTTTATGGATGATTTGGAAGTGTAGGGATGCTATTTTTTTTGAAAATAGGGTGCTCGATACAACACATATGTTCTTTCTAGCAACATTTAAATTAGCGGCATGGTTTATGGTAAAGAATCCTAAAGTTTCTATTATGATGAACTCTCTTATTAGTGATCCATCCTTAGTGGATACCTATACAATCTCAAGGAATTAGTTATCTCCTTCATCCTCATGGACTCCTCCCCTGAGGGGTTTTTTAAAATCAACGTTGATGGAGCAGTAAATAGAGATTGGAAAGCGGGTGGCGTTGGAGGTATTTTGCATGATAATTACAACATCGTTCATGGGTCTTTTTCGGAACCAACAGAGCCTGGTCCCCCTTCCTTGGTGGAATTGGTAGATGACAATCATCATTTTATTGTCAAATAATTCCTTAATCTCAATAAAAGAAATAGAAATAGTAGTAGGGGGAGTAAGAATCGATCCGTAGGGACTAAAGAAATTGCTGATATAAGAGGCCTTTGATTATGGTTTTGGGCAAAAATTAAAGAAAGTAAATGGGGGATTTGTTTGAATGATTGTAAAGAAAGAAAAGATTTAATCTAAAGAAAATAATTAAGATGAAAATTATACGGTAAAAGCAGCCTCAAGCTTTCACTTTGCCTCAATTCCCATTGATCATTGAATAAGATTTTCACTTCGGATTCATGCCTGTTATAGTTTATAGGGCCCAACCCCTGTAACTTATTTTTCTCTCTAGTAAATTGACAATTCAAAATCTATCTTTGATTTTCAGTCCTTTTATAGACTAACTACGACTATTGTCGTCAGTGCTAACTTAGTTTAAAGATTTGGAAAAACCTGACTCAAACTATGTTGTCTCAATGAAAATCGAATATGATCTCAATTTTCCTTAGCATACTCTCGCTAAGTGTGTTCACAAAAAGTTGAACGTGCTACAAGTTGATCCTTCCTCCCAACTATAAATTGGAACAACAATAAAGTCAACGAGCTCTTTTTGAAATGAAAGCATTTTGATTTTAAAGGAAAAACCGATAACCAATCCAATTTAGTAGAAAATTGAGAATGTAACTCGAATAATATTAAGTGATTTTTAATTCTCACGATCGAAATTGAGTCATTGCTTCAACATTTGGCTTATTGAAATCTTAGTTAAGCATTATAGAAATTATACTTACCATTTTTAAAATAAAATAAAGAAAGCTAGAAAAGTAAAAGAAACTAAATGAAATAAAAGAAAAACTTTGATATAACTAAAGAAAATAAAGAACAAACTAATTCGAGATATGTTCTCAGGCATACCCCAATGGGGTATTTATAGTCTCCTAAACCCTAAAAATGACATAGAAAATGATAGAAGATAATTCTTGAAATTGTTTTAAACTAAATACTAAAAACAAAAAGATAATTCCTAAAAGATAATCCCAATTTAGATTCAAATTTTCGTTGATCCGCCCTTCCGCCTTCTAGAATGTTGATTGGACCTTTTAAACGTTACTGACTGAGTGCCACGTTGATGCCACACCATATGTTGTCATGCCCCAAGTCATTCCCACTAATCCAACCTTGACTCTAGAAAATAAAAATTACATAAATTTATCCTTTTAACATTTTTTCTGGAATCCAACATCTTGCACAAAAAAATGAATACAAATACCCAAATTAGAAACATAAATCAATCAACAAGGAGCAATTAATGATAAAATTGTAATTAATTAAGGGTCTGTTTGTTTCACTGAAAACATTGTACGGAAAATGAAATCTGGAAAATGTTTTACAGAAATATAAAACATTTTCCAGAAAACATTTTCCAGTGTTTGGATGGTTCATTGTAAAATGTTTTACACTGTTTGGTTAATTTTCCTGAAAACTGTTTTCAGAATTTGTTTTTAATGAAGAAACTATACATATTGAATATGTTTTATTATTTATTATTTTTTAAAAGTTGCTTTTTTATATATAATTATATTTTATAAAAATATGTATTTTAAAAAATATTAATAATTGATTAAAAATATATTATAAAAGTTTATAAATCCTAAGAATGTTTAATTAATAGTACACCAAATTAAAACAACAATAATACATAACATTGTACTAATAATAATATTATCAAATTAAAACAACAATAATATACAACCGTAATAATACATAGTCTAATTCATAATTAGTGCTACAACACATCAATCCAACAATACAAATACTGAAGTCTATACTACAATACATTAGAGTTAAAATGTTGTCCAAGTCATAAATTATTATACACCACATTTAAAGTTTACATCTTAATCTTGGGTAAACTTCTGAAGCCAAATTTTCCTATGCTTTGTTTTTTTAGCCAAGAAAGCTTTGGCCTCAAGCTCATTCTTGGCTAGAAAATCGAAGACCTCACAAAGAAAGTCGTCACCAAATCCTTCTTTCTCCATTGACATAACTTCTTCGTAAAGATATGGTGTCCTATCCTCGGTAAATTTTTTGAGTGTTTCAGCAATCTCACCAAGTTTCTCACCTACAAACTGAATATGATCATGCTCGACGTTTTCTTGGACATTCTTCCTTTTACGTTTTGATGTACCAGATGAAGATATGTTTGCTATTTCCTCATCGACATGTTGAGTGTCGAAATTTAATGGTATTGATCCTTCATTAATATCATCCAAGTCTATATTGGCAAAAGTTCTAGCAAAACTCCCTGTTGCCATATCTTGACCGACAACAAGAGCCATCTCATCATAAGAATCAATTTTTTTGTTCAAAAATTGACCATATTTCGGGTGTGCCTGTTAAATATTATACACAATTAGAATAACAAGTATAATTTAACTCTCAAGTAAAAATAGTATATAGAAATTACCGTCACTATAGCGTCATATGTCACTCCGTCACAGGTTATCATTTTCATGTTGTCGTCCCATCCTAATCCACTGTTTTCACGAATTGTACATATAGTTTTCCATGTGTTTTTGACAGTCCTCAAATGATTTTCCACGTGTTTAGCGTCACATTGGACTCCAAATTTTTCAGAAATAGATGTTGCAACTCGCTTTATAGAAACTGATTTGAAGGTATTAGATGGCTTATTACCTTTTTGTGCCTCCTCTGCAAGTATTTCCAGGAAATGACGTTCCATTGGTTTTGTCCACCTAAAATTTTTTGATGTGCTCATTGCTAATAATCATATAAATTGAAAGCAATTAGACAATGGAACACAAAATTTTAAAACTTACAATAATAATGATTAAATTTCAAACATAACTGAAAACATAACATTATCTATTTCATAGTATAACAAACTTAAACCAACAACCTAAAAATAAAATTGTCAACATCCATAAAATTTAACTTCAATGTTATGTCTTTGCCCAAAAGTGTCGACTATGAGAGCAAGGATTGACAAGTACAAAATCTAACCCAATAGATACAATTAAATACGCTAAATGTTAACCAGAAGTCGCATACATGCATATATTTTCAGTTCCTACGTAATGATGCCATCCCAAAATATACTAAGGTAACAATAAATGATGGAACGCAAATTTTAAAACTTACAATAATATATAAATTTCAAACATAACTGGAACATAACATTATTTATTTCATAGTCTAACAAACTTAAACCAACAACCTAAAAATAAAATTGTCAACGCCCATAAAATTTAACTTCAATAAAACAGTAGCAAGTTCAATTTCCAACAAACTAAAAACAACAATATCCATCATATGTAACATACAAATACTTGGAATAAATATCAACTAATTACATATTTATATTTATATAATCAATCCACATAGCTTCTGCAATTTCATCTCTTTTACTAGCCCATTCTCTAGCTTCTTCTCTCTCTTCTCGTTGTGTAAGCATTGATGTTATCGAATAAGGCTCAGGTTCCTCATACATTCCTTCATTAATTATATCATTAGGATCAACTCCCATTATATGGTTATGAATGATAGTACAAGCCAAGACTATGTCTATCTGTGTTTGAAAATCCCAAAATGGTTCAGCATCTAACACACGAAAACGTTTCTTTAAAATTCCAAACACTCGCTCAACAGTTGTTCGCAATGATGAATGACGAAGATTAAAAAGTTCCTTCGCATTTTCTGGACGATGATTACTGAACTCTTTTAAATGATATCGAACACCACGATATGGAGAGATAATTCCATTTCGGATGCCATATCCAGCATCAGCAAGATAATATTTACCTACAATTTAACAAACTGTTATTATTACTTAATATATTATGCGTTGAAATTAATTAATTTTTATTATTAAAGCTAATTATTACCTTCTGGAATACTAAATCCTCTTGGGCGTGTAAGTGCATCAGTTAAAATACGAGAATCATGTGCACTGCCTTCCCAACCAGCTAGAACATACAAAAATTTCAGGTCAAACTTAATGGCAGCTAATACATTCTGTGTCGTTCCCCCTTTACGACTACGAAACCTTCCTTGAATGTTAGGTGGAACAGATGCACGAATATGAGTTCCATCTAATGCTCCCACACAATCTTTAAAGTATGGGTAAAACCTTGAATTGTTTATTATTTCAGGAGGAGTTGACTCATCGGGTAACCTAATAGCTAATTTATATAACTTCATAATAGCCCTCAACACAATCCTAAAGTAACGGTGAATTGTCTCAATTGATCTATAATATCTTGATCCAATCACTCGAAATCTTACATTATGACCAATTATATGTAAAAATATGATAACTTGCTCCTTAACATTCATCGATCTTGTCGACTGTAAAAAATTGTTCCTAGTAAGGATGTCACACAAATTAAAGAACGAAAGTGGTTGCATTCGTATTATGTCGATACAATTCTGATCACCTGTATATAAAATACTATTGATGTAATTTTCTCTTTCATCATCTCGATTCACCTGACATTGACGACTTATTTGCTTTCTAGATTTTATTCTGTGAATCCAAAGAGCCCCAAAAACCAATGCTGAAGCAGCAACTCCCACTATGGTTTTATGAATAGAATTATGTTCCATCTACAAAGAAATGATCGTAATAATTTATGAATACTTGAACTGTAAAATAAATACTTGAGGTAGTTATGGAAAGATTATCTCACATTATTCTTGAGGTAGTTGATAATGGTGATTGGAAAGTTTTAAAATTATCTACAAGAGTCACTAATGTTAGTATCTACTTTGATGCGCTACTGTTGTTTCTATCTATTTTTCCAACTAAAAGTAAAAGCTTTTAATTATCTTGTTAACATTTACAAAGTTAAATCTCAGGAATTGGCAACTGGATTGCAGATGAAGCGTTATACCAAGTTAGTGCACCCTTTATATACAAGATTGATTGTTGCATATTTTAAGATGTTTAGGATAAACCAATGAAATAAGCTCTTTTGTAATCTGGATATGGAACGTTTCTTATGCATAGTTTTGACATATCCAAATGAAAATTCTACAATGTTTGTTGCACTAAAAAACTAGAGTTTCCACTTGAGGTTGAGATTACCATAAATATACTTTTCATTGTTTTATCCTTGACATTGTTTTTGGGAAAACAAGTAATGATCTTAAAGTTCCATTTCTAGATAGCTTGTTCAGTCTGTTATTTAGTTTGAAAAGTTTTAGAGAAATAGAAAATATTCAATTTAGATTCACTGGTCCTAGAAGGTTGATATGATACAATTGTTTGGGGAGGGGTAGTCTTCTCATTTCACAATAACTTTATTCATGAAGGGCTTTGTATAGAGAGAATACAAACATCACAAAGGCTTAAAACACCACGGAACAAAACAGAACAATTCTTGTGTCCATTGTAGACACAATAGTAGATGGGTTGAGTTGATGGCATCCACCCAACCGACCAACAACAAAAAAAAAACACTATAAATTAAAGTTTCATAGCTTCTGATAAGTAGATTGAGAACCAAAAAGTAAAGGTAAATGATGATTTCTCAGTTGAGATTAAACAAACCCAGATTGAAATTTCACAGAAACTATAAACAAAATCAGAAATCGAAGAAACTATAAACAAACCCAGATTGAAATTTCACAGAAACTATAAACGAAATCAGAAATCGCAGAAGTGAAATAAGGAAAAAGAAAAGGGAGATGAAGAAATGATACATACTTGAGAAATGAAATCTGCGCGCCTCGCCGGTGTGAAGGACTTCAAACGGTCGCCAGTGTGGAGCAAGCGACGGGAGAAATCAATCTTGGTCTTATCTGTGTGGAGCAAGAGAAGCTTGGAAAACAACTTACCCTTTTAGAAACGGTAAGATGAAATACAGTGGATTTGCCTGAGTTTTCCCTTGACCGTAAAATATTTTACGTTGACTGAGAGTTTTAAGCGAACCAAACACCTGAAAACGGGGAAAACATTTTCCGTAAAATGTTTTCCCCGTTCCAAACAGACCGTAAGATACTCATCAAATTCCACCTCACTTATTCAATGATTCTCCTTAAGCATTTCTCAATCAATATATCAAAATCTCAATTTGCCAACTTTTATTTCACATTATTTCGAAGTCATCCAAATGATTCAAGACCATAGCAAATAACGAAATCAAGGAACAATTAAGAAAAATACATAAAATAAAGTGTAAGCAAAGCATGACATTCCAATTATCCATTAACTTAAATGAAGCAAAACTCAATACCTCGCAATGGCGCTTAAAGTTTTTTCAGGTAAAAGAATCGTTCAAGTCGAAACTAATTAAAACATTACCATAGATTTGTAACTAAATCTAATCTCCACTATTAAAAATGAACATGATGTAAAAGTCAAGGGATCTTTGATAAGGGTTGTAATGGGGTTAAGGTTCAGATAAGGAAAAAGGTCAAAAATTGGGTTAAAATTCAAGACAAAGGTAAGTTCATTCCATAGATTTATACAAAGGAAGTAAAAGAAAGTAAACAAGAAATCAACACTTTATTTATCACCTTTTTTCAAATCTATTTTTTCTTTTTCTGCATTGTTCAAAGCATAACAGATATTTTCCTATTGTTTTCTATCGTTGTTCGCAAATTGTTCGAACAATGTTTTTTCTTTGGAACAATTTACCTTTCTCCTGAAAAAGGGTGACAAAAGAAGGGAGTCACATGAATCAATTCAGGTGACGGTGCGCACAATTGTTGCATGCATCAGCCACCATGACGAGGTGGAGGAACGGGTGGTTGCGACAAAGAATCAGAGTCGCTCAATAGTTGAACGAATGTCGGTGCCGCAAAGCGGCAGTGTCCGCATCCGAGAGTGATCAACTGTTGGGAAGGCGCATTAGATTGGTTTCTTGTGCGAACCATGATGGAGAGAAGAGACGAACTACGATTGAACGACGTCGAGTGGTACTTGGGACTGACGATCGATAAGCAAAGGTTGAACGGTTTGGTGGTTTTATGGCCGTGAGATGTGCAAAGAAAACAAAGAAGGGGAAAAGATGGAGTCGAGCGGCTGGGAGAAAGTGGAAAAGATGAATAAGGGTTTTGGTTTGTTTGCACGTTAAATATTAAAGGAATGGGAAAAGAATTTGACTTTAAGCCCGTGAATAAGGGTTTCAGATTTTGAAACATGTCATGGGATAAGGGCATATGGGCTCCACAAAGAAAAATAAGGGAATATAATTAGTAAAATGGTGCACACGAGAGGTGGGATGGTGGCTTGCTACAGCCGTGCGATTCCCTTCCTTCCTAGGGGTAATTTAAGCTTTGTTCGAGCCAAAAATTATGCTCGGCTTCATCTAAACTTAATAAGGAATGATGGGTATCTACAAAATTTAAAATTTAAAATAAGAAAAACTTTAAATGAAAATAACAAATAAAAATAGAAAATAGAAAACAAACTTAAACAAATTTTATTAAATATGGGGTGCCTCCCATAAAACGTTATTTTTAACGTCATTAGCTCGATGACCTGATTTCAAATTATAGGTTCTTCTAATTCAATTTCTTCGATTAAACCAACCGGAGCGTTTTATTAATAAGGCTTTAGTCTTTAACTGTTAACTTTAAATCGAGCTCCTGATTCGTCTTCAATTTCAATCTCACCATGAGGGAATATTTGAATTATCATGAAAGGTTCGAGCCACTTCAATCTTAGCTTTCTTGCAAAAAGTTTAAGCTTAGAGTTAAATAACAAAGCCTTTTGTCCGAAAGAAAATGATTTAAAAGAAATTCTACGATTGTGGTTTTTCTTTGAATATTCGAGCACTTTCGTATGTGTTTATACGGATTTCTTTAAGCTCTTGTATATGCAACTTTCATGCTTCGTCGATTGTTTCCATCTCCATGTTGAATTGTTTGACCACCCAATATGCTCGATGCTTCAATTAAACATCGAAGACAATACAATATAGAGACATTCTAATGGGACCTTTTGTAAGCAGTTCGGTATTCTCATAATATATCGACTAGTTTAAGACTCCAATCCTTAAAGTCCGGTTTGACAATCTTCTTAAGAACTGCCTTGGTTTCAAGATTTGACACTTATGCTTGCCCATTTTTTACGGATGGTAGGTCATGGAAATTCTTTAAGTTACTCTAAATTTTTCATGAGTGATTCAATTATCCAGTTGATGAAGTGAGTTTTTTTATCGATTCTATTGCCCGCGGTGTGTCAAACGTGGAAAAAATAAAATTTCTTCAAAAGTTAATTACGGTTCTGGCATCATTATTTCGGGTAGCCTTAGCTTCTACTCATTTGAAAACATAATTGACTGAAGGATAATGTAAGTATTTCCAAATGTAGAAGTAAAGGGATCCATATAGTCGATTCCCCACACATTGAAAATTTCACAGATATAGATTGGATTAAAAGGTATTTTGTTCTTTCAATCTAGCTTACTTGCACGTAGACATCTTTCACAAGTTTTATAGAATAAATAAGCATCACGAAAGATATTAGGCCAAAAGAAATCACACTCTAAAATTCTATGGGCAGTCCACTTTGGTTTGAAATGACCGCTACAAGAGTAAAAATGACAGAAATTTAAAATCGAATTTACCTCATCTTCAACGATGCATCACCGAATTACCTGATTCGAACAGTGCTTCCAAAGGTAAAGATTATCTTAAATGTAAAATCAGGACTCTCGCTTTATTCAATTAATTTTTACTCTCGGGAAATCTAACAGTAATTTACCTTTGGCCAAATAATTGACCATATCTGCAAACCAAAGGGTAAATTTTTTTGGCAACATTAAATTTTTCTTCGAGAAATTCTTCTTGAATCGGCGGATTGGATGTGGAGAGAGGAATATGACTCAGGTGATCAGCTGCCAAATTATTGCATCCTTTTTTATCATTGATCTCCAAATTAAATTCTTGGAGAAGTAAAATACATCACATAAGTCTGGGCTTCGCCTCCTTTTTTCTCATCAGATATCACAAGGCCACATGATCAGAGAAAACAATAATTTATTGACAAGCAAATAAGATCTAAAATTTTCTAAAGCAAAAATTATAGCAAACAATTCTTTTTCAGTCATAGAATAATTTCTCTGAGCTGAATCCAAAGCTCGAGACACATAGGTTATGACATGAGGCTCTTTGCCAATTTTTTGACGAGAACAATGCCAGCTATTGTATTCGATGCTTCACATATAAACTCAAAATGATAGTACCAATTTGCTAGTTGTACATCATGTTAGAGTATGCACAAAGACCAATCATATGATGATTGTAATAATACATTTATTTATTGATTTTATTGAATAAAGGCATTGTCAATATTATTTTCAGTTACATGTACGTGTTTAACATAAACTGAAAGATAATAAAGTCCATATAATAACATTATTAATGGATCCATAGTCAACTATTATTATGGGCATGGACAATAATAATACACTTAAGACTAACATGTTATTGATTGATGACAAGGAGTTGTCATTGACATAGAGATGTCAAAATTGATACATTAATATATTGTTAGAGAACAATGTACTGGATTAAACCATCATGAGCATATGTCTTGTATTATTATGTAACGATCATAACATTGCTCATGGTGATGACTATATGTATGATCCTCATACTTGAGATCAATGTCCTCCCAACATATATTGTTGTATGTTTTGATACAGTTAAACATGCTCCGTAACTGGTTGCACTATAAATACTGTTATTTAATATATCTCGATATATGTAGTGGGGTGTATATGGTTAAGATAGGATTTGTCCTTCCTACATAATAGGAAATATATCACATGCCACCTGATTGAGTGAGACTAGAAATGCATGGCCATGCTCGAATAAGTTGATATGTGATATCACAAATTATTCGTTAATTATAGTCTACTCTAGATATCAAGAAACAATAGATGTGCTATACAAGTGTGACTATTCTAAGACTTGTGCCTATTCTAGATATAAAGGACAAAAGGATGTAATACATAAAAGAGTTAATCACGAAGATGATATGTCGAATCATAATTTCTTGTAACTTAGGTGACAATGATATATTGCTAGATGTCACTCATTGTATGTAATATTAGAATTGTTCTAATAATTACTACTAACATTACAAGAACCTACAGGATCACACCCTAGGATTGAAATGAGAAAAGATGTACAATATGTTGTATGTTACTAAAATATATCTAGAGTTAAGATATGTATATTTGATATACATATGATTTTAATTATCCTGAATATAGTAAGTAAGAGTTAAAAAAATGTAATTTAGATTACAACTCTTTTAATTGATATATAATTTAGAATAATTAAATAAGTTTTTAAATAAACATTAAAGATTGTAATTCAGATTATAAGTCTTAATGTATATTTAATTTGAATTAATTAAATAATATTTTATTTATTAATTCGAATAACTTTAAAAACCCTAGGATGTTAGGGTAATTGATATATTTAAGGAGGTAAGGTCTAGCAGCCGTTTTACTTCAGCCGTTTTTCTCAAAACCGATTTTAGGAAAAGAAAAATTGTTCTCTCAATCAGGTGAACTAAGTAGAGGTCGAGATGTGTTTTCGTAGAGGCTTACGATTCGAACCGTTCGTGATCACCACTTCTCGTTGCCGTCTTTGCTATTTTTCAAGGAACCCATTGTAAGTATTCACATTCTTTCCTCCCGATTTCGGTTATACGTACTTGGATCGCTGGTGAGACCGTCGAGTTTTATTTTCGCTGCGCCGTGGGGTGCACCGACGGTCCCAACACATCGGGCCGGATATAAGCTTTTCTTTCAAGATGTTGAATGACTCCTTATAGTCCGGATTAAAATAAAATACTTGATCCCGTTATTGTAAATTGCATATCGGTTGTGCTATCTTTGAGAAATCTTTGATGAACCTAAGATATGAAGAATCTGTCTTTGGCTAATTAAGGTGTCTTGACTGAAACCATATTGAGGCGGTTTGGAAACACTTGCTTCATATGCTCTTTTAATTCCATCTTCTAGAAAATGAGTCTCGTCTCCTAAAACCTACATATGAAAATTATAGCTTTTAGATAATTGTAATTTCCAAAATCAACAAAATTTAAAAAGAACTATAAGTTAGTGTCTAACTGACCTTGTAGAAATCGAAGGGAATAGAAATGTGGCTTTCGGGAGGGTACGAGGAGAAAATGGGAGGGAAAAGGGGAGAAATAGTGGAGGTTGAGAAGGAAGAATTAACAGTGGCAGGGAGAAGGAGATGCTCGACCTATTTACTGGCAGAGAAGATAACGATGGATGAAGGGTGGTGGAGTTTGGAGGGTTTTCGAGGGTGGAGCAATGTAGTTAAAGTAGGAGCGCACTAAAAAAATGATGAAAAAAGGTTAAATGGCATGGGACTCAAAACTTGTAGCGTTAATGTACTGAAATTTTGTGGCGTTTAATTAAAAACACCACTATATATGAATTCTTTTTGCGGTGTTTGATTAAAAATGCCACTTACGTTAGTAGAGGTTTTTCTAAAAAAACGCCACTAATGCTACTGTGGCGTTTTAACAGTAAATGCCACTAAATTACTGAAAAATTACGGTGTTTGTTTAAAAAACGCTTTTGCGGAGTTTATTTAAAAACACCGCTAAAGTTACCATTTTATGATGTTTTTACTATAAACGCTGCGATATTTAAAAATTTAGCGGCGTTTACTAACAAAACGCCGCTAAAACCTATTTGGTGCATATCCGAGCTTGAGGGCCATGTTCAAGCATCTTAATGCCCAACCTGAGTGCTTCGTAAGCCTAACAAAATTTTTGTTCTTAACATAATGTTTTATTACTTTTAATCGCCAATAAAAATCTCAACTCAGGCATAAATAATTAAGTTTGATATTAAGAGCGAAAATTTAGCTCATTTTTACAATGTATAAGAGTCTAGATGAGAAAAATTAAATGGTTTTTCTTTCTTTCTTTTCTAATTGAGTAGCCTTGATTGCAAAATCTATTTTTTTAATTTATTTTCAAATCGAGTAAACAATCTCACAAACTATAAGTTATGAGTTGATAACATATATGTGATTAATCTCGTAGATGCATCTATTGAAATCATTTAATTTTTTCCACTTTATGGATAAATAGGTCCATATTTCGATCAAATATGTGAGACATTCAATCTCAACTTAAACTAGTGATGTTCTAAATTTCTTTCGAGAACAAATAACACAAGAACTTCATGTTCTTTAAATTTATGTAAATCTCAATAATTTTGCATCATTATTGATTGTGATGGTCTAACTAATCATGCCAACTAATTAAAATTTTAGACGTGTAAACTTCTAGTTTATCATAACATGTGATTCAATCTCATTCATACAAACTTTTGTAAATTTTAATTTACCATAACATATGATTTAATCGAATTGTGTAGTTCTAAGGGTGAACAATGTGCTTAAAAAAATAGAGGAATCTTCACATAATTATAATAAGAATTAGGCATAAACATGATTACCACTCACTTTCGGCTTCCCAGAAGCAATATCTTAACTTGATCTTGAGTTTCGTAACGTCTAATAGTTCATAGTCAGTATATCTGTTTTACTTTAATTATTTTGATGTTACTTGGACGTATGCTATAAAAACAGTCATACGCTACACGTGGGGGAGCAATTAATCCAAGGCAATTCGTAAAGGGAGGAAGATGGAGGTAGTAGAACGAGTGCAAACCCTGGTTTTATCATCTCCAACCAAAGATAGCATCCCTGTAGAGTTTATTCGACTGAAAGATGAATAGACTGCGATCACAACGTTTCAAGGTTCGATCCCCGATATCCCGGTCATTAATTTCGACGAACCGAACCAAGAAAATATCATCCGTTCGATGGCCGAGGCTTGCAGGGAGTGGGGAATATTTCAGGTGGTGAACCACGGGATACCCTTGGATCTAAATCAAAGATTTCAGCTAGTCGACAGAGAATATTAAAAAAATCAAAAGCAGCCGGCTGCTTTGAATAATAGGCGGCTGATTTTTTGTCAAAATTATTAAGCTTGAAAATGTTGAATTCATGGATGGTAAAACTATACATTTAGTCATTGTTCTTTTAGGGTATTTACAAGATTAGTCCTTAAGCTTCAACTATAAATACCCTAACTCATTTAGCTTCAAAACCATCCCAAAGCATTCTAGCTTTCTTCCAATATTAGAGAATTTAGAGAGTTTCTTAAGAGTTGTTTTCTCCTTTTTATCAAGAGAGAATTATCATTGTTTTCTCCTTGATAGATCGAGAGAAGTTGTAATTCCTATTTTCTCATAGTGAAATTCTTCTACCGTTGCCTATGGTTGTTACCCTATATTATTTAGGGGTTTTCCACGTAAATTTTATGTCTCATTTATCTTTATTTTTATTTTCTCAAATTATCAGTTGCGATTTTGCTCTATCCGATAGCCGTCTTCTGCATCAATTGGTATCATAGCCAGATTTGATTGTGTAATATCTGCTTATTGTCTTTGTGGTTGCCACCAAAAAGGTGGATCCTCCAACATAAGAAAGTAAGAAGTTATTACCCATTCTTTGAAGGTTCCAGAGAACTATTCATGATAGTGAAATAGTGGGAGCTATTCGTAAAAGAAGCTATGAAAATGAAATTTGATATTAAAAAATTCAATGGGAGAAATTTCTCATTGCGGAAATTGAAGATGAAGGCTATCCTGAGGAAAGACGGATGTCTAGCAGCTATCAGTGAAAGGCCGATAGATTTTACAGATAACAACAAATGGATCGAAATGGACGGGAATGCTATGGAAAACTTTCATCTGGCATTAGCAGATGAAGTATTGTCAAGCATCGAGGAGAAGAAGACAGCTAAGGTGATATGAGATCATCTCACCAAACTGTACGAATCCACATCGTTGCACAATAAAATTTTTCTTAAGAGAAAATTATACACTCTCTGTATGTCAGAATCTACTTCAGTAACGGACCACTTAAACTCATTGAACACGTTATTTTCTCAGCTTACATCTTTAAGGTGTACAATAAGAGAACAATAACGTGTTGAACTTCTACTTCAAAGTCTACCTGATTCGTATGATCAACTCATCATCAACTTGAAAAACAGTAATGTCACTAGTCTAGTCTTTGATGACGTTATAGGTGCTGTTCTACAAGAAAAAAATCGGCACAAGAACAAGGAAGACAGATAAGTAAATCTGCAACAAGCAGAAGCATTGACAACGATGAGAGGGAGATCAACAAAACATGGCCAAAGTAGCAGTCACAAACATGGTAGATCGAAGTCAAGGAGCAAGAATAATTTAAAGTGTTACAATTGTGGAAAGGAGGGTCACTTGAAGAAAGATTGTTGGAGTCTAAATAAAAACTCCAATCCATAAGGCAATACCGCAAACACTTCAGATGATGGAGATGCTCTATGTTGTGAAGCGTCAACCACAGTAGAAGGTAGAAAGAAATATACAGATATATGGCTCATTGATTCACGAGCAACATATCACATGACCTCAAGAAGAAAATGATTCCATCATTATGAAACTGTCTCAAGAGGATCTGTGTATAGTTGCAATGATCATACCTTAGAGATCATTGGTGTGGGAACCATCAAATTGAAGATGCATGATGGAATAATTAAAATTGTTCGAGATGTGCGGCACGTGAAAGGCCTGACGAAAAATTTATTATCATACGGATTGTTGGATAATAATGCAAGCAAGATTGAAACATGGAAAGGAATCATGAAGGTGTTCCATGGAGCGCTTGTGGTGTTGAAAGGCGAAAAGATAGCAACAAACTTGTACATGCTGAAGAGAGAGACTTTGATAGAAGAAGAAGCTTCTACTGTCTCATATAGTTCAGATTCTATAATGCTATGGCATCAGAAACTTGGACATATGTCAGAAAAAGGAATGAAAGTCCTTGTGGAGCAAAAGCTACTTCCAGGCTTAACAAAGGTAACACTTCCTTTGTGTGAGCATTGCATAACACGTAAGCAGCACCGGTTAAAATTCAACACATCAAATTCTAGAGGCAAAAATGTTCTAGAATTGGTTCACTCTGACGCATGGCAAGCACCAGTTACATCCCTTGGCGGAGCAAAATACTTTGTCTCATTTATTGATGACTACTCTAGGAGATGTTGGGTGTACCCTATTAAAAGGAAGTCAGACGTGTTTTCAACTTTCAAAAACTTCAAAGCACGGGTGGAACTTGATTCTGGAAATAAGATCAAGTGTTTCAGAACAGATAATGGAGGAGAATACACAAGCAAAGAATTTGATGACTTTTGAAGGAAATAAGACATAAAAAGACAGTTCACAGTGGCGAACACTCCTCAACAAAATGGAGTGGCATAGCGAATGAACAGAACCTTGTTAGAAAGAACAAGAGCAATGTTGAGGGATGCAGGCCTAGAAAAATCATTCTGGGCAGAAGCAGTCAATACCGCCTGTTATTTGGTGAATCGAGCTCCATCAACTGCAATAGAGCTGAAGACACCAATGGAGATGTGGACTGGTAAACCAGTTGATTATTCAAACCTCCATGTATTTGGAAGTATTGTGTACGTGTTGTACAACTCCCAAGAAATTTCAAAGTTAGATCCAAAATCCAGGAAATACAAATTCTTGGGGTATGTTGATGGTGTAAAGGGGTATCGCTTATGGGATCCCACTACCCGCAAAGTGATCATCAGTAGGGATGTTATCTTTGTAGAAGATAAACTAAAAAGAAAAGAAGAAGATGATAGCACTGAAAAGTCAGAGACTACACATATACATGTGGAAAAGGAGGTTGAACAAAGAGATTCTTCTAAAGCAAAATCAGCACATGATGAACAAGAACCAGAGAGTTCTGAAGCCCCAATAACTCGTCAATCAGATTGTGTGAAAAGACGTCCCAATTGGCACTCAGATTATGTTATAGAAGGTAAGATTGCATACTGCCTTTTAACAGAGGACGGTGAGCCATTAACATACCAGGAGACAATAAACAGCTCAGATGCTTCACTATGGATGATGACGATGCAAGAAGAAATCAAAGCCCTTCATAAAAATAATACATGGGACCTTGTGCCACTACCACAAGAAAGGAAGCCAATTGGTAACAAATGGGTCTTCAAAATCAAGCGAAATGGTGACGATCAAGTGGAGAGGTATCGTGCAAGACTGGTGGTCAAAAGATATGCTCAAAACGAATGTATTGATTTCAATTAAATATTTTCTCATGTGGTTCGACTAACAACAGTTCGAGTAGTTTTGGCAATGTGTACTATATTGAACTTACATCTAGAGAAGCTATATGTTAAAATAGCTTTTCTTCATGGAAATCTTGAAGAAGAGATTTACATGCTCTAGCCTGAAGGATTTAAAGAAAAAGAAAAGAAAAACTTGGTTTGCAGGTTGAACAAATCTCTGTACGGTCTAAAGCAGGCGCCGAGGTGTTGGTATAAGAGATTTGATTCCTTCATTATGTGCCTTGGATACAACAGACTTAACGCATACCCTTGTGCTTATTTCAAGAGGTCTGGTGATAACGATTTTGTTATATTACTGTTTTATGTGGATGATATGTTGGTTGCAAGACCCAACAAAGATCATATTGAAGAATTAAAGACACAACTGGCTAAGGAATTTGAAATGAAGGACTTGGGATCAACAAACAAGATTCTAGGGATGCAAATTCACCGAGACAGAAGTAATAGGAATATTTGGCTTTCACAAAAGAATTACTTGAAGAAGATCTTGTCACGATTCAACATACAAGATTGTAAGCCAATTTCTAACCCTCTTCCTATTAACTTCAAATTATCCTCCAGTATGAGTCCTAGCTGTGAAGAAGAGAGGATGGAGATATCTCGAGTACCGTATGCATCAGCAGTGGGAAGTTTAATGTTCGCTATGATATGCACAAGACCAGACATTGCACAAGCAGTGGAAGTGGTTAGTCGGTATATGGCGAATCCAGTCAAAGAGCATTTGAATATAGTAAAGAGGATCCTGAGATATATCAAAGGGACCTCAAATATTGCATTATATTATGGAGGATCAAACTTACTAATCAATGGGTATGTAGATTCTGACTATGCAGAGGATTTGGATAAAAGCAAATCTACTACATGATATGTGTTCAAAATTGTTGGTAGAGCTGTAAGCTGGGTTTCAAAATTGCAGTCAGTTGTGCCTACATCCACAATAGAGGCAGAATATGTAGCAGCTACACAAGCCAGTAAAGAAGTAATCTGGTTGAAAATGCTATTGGAGCTTGGGCACAATCAAGAGTATGTCTCTTTGTTTTGTGACAGTCAAAGCGCCTTGCATTTAGCAAGGAATCCAACATTTCATTCAAGGACAAAGCGCATACGAGTTCAATACCATTTCATTCGTGAAAAGGTGGAAGAAGGGATGATAGATATGCAGAAGATCCATACCAAAGACAACATAGCAGATTTCATGACAAATGTGATCAATGTTGATAAATTTACTTGGTGTCGATCCTCTTATGGCCTGTCAAAAACGTAAGCAGCATGATGGTACAAGGTAGAAAGAATGGTGTGAAGATATGATTGTTCCAATCAAATCTTCAAGTGGGAGATTATTAAAAAAATCAAAAGCAGCCGGCTGCTTTGAATAATAGGCGGCTGATTTTTTGTCAAAATTATTAAGCTTGAAAATGTTAAATTCATGGATGGTAAAACTACACATTTAGTCATTGTACTTTTAGGGTATTTACAAGATTAGTCCTTAAACTTCAACTATAAATACCCTAGCTCATTTAGCTTCAAAACCATCCCAAAGCATTCTAGCTTTCTTCCAATACTAGAGAATTTAGAGAGTTTCTTAAGAGTTGTTTTCTCCTTTTTATCAAGAGAGAATTATCATTGTTTTCTCCTAGGTAGATCGAGAGAAGTTGTAATTCCTATTTTCTCATAGTGAAATTCTTCTACCGTTGCCCGTGGTTTTTACCCTATATTATTTAGGGGTTTTTCATGTAAATTTTGTGTCTCTTTTATCTTTATTTTTATTTTCTCAAATTATCAGTTGCGATTTTGCTCTATCTGATAATCGTCTTCCGCAATAGGGAGTTCTTCGATCTACCACAGGAAGAGAAGGAGATTTTTGAATATTTTGAATATTTTAATTTCATCCTTAAATTATGATTGTCATTCTAAATTAGTCTTTATACTTTTGAATATTTTAATTGCCTCCCCAAATTATGACTTTCATTCTAAATTAGTCCCCAAAATTTTTATACATTTCAATTTCATTCCAAACTATACATATATACTAATCACAACCCTTGTTAATAAAATCGTTATGCCAAGTTATATTATTATATGTTTAAAAAGAAATAAAATTTAGATTAAACTATAATTGAAACTAAATACATATTTGAATAAATTTGAGATGAAATTGGAAGATTCAAAAGCTCGAGGACCAATTTAAAATGAGTCATAATTCAAGGATAAAATAAGAATGTTAAAAAATTATAGGACTAATTTAAAATGAGAGTCATAGTTTAGAGATGAAATTGACATATTCAAAAGTTTAAGGGCCACTTAAAAACGATGGTCATAGTTTGGTGCACGTTATGCAATTAACTCGTTTATGCATGATTTCATTTTGTTTTGTTTTTATTATATTGATAAATGCAGACGAATGCAAGGTATATCCAGTTGCACAGATGCAAGGATTGTTCTATAGGATGGACACGAATCCACCTTGAAATATGATTTTCTTTATATTAACTGTTTATTTTATTGAATGTGTTTACCTTGAAATTTTATTTATATTCATTCCATATAAAAGTTTTTATATTTAATATATGTGTGCTTGTTTTTTAAAAAAATGGATCCTCCACACACGTGGTGCTCGGACCCAGACTTCAAGGCAAGATTTCTTTTTGGTTTAAATTTTGATTTGGTTTCAGAGAGGTGAACAAGGAGTATTCGCAGGAGGTGAGGAAGGTAGTGGAAAAGCTGTTCAGATGGCTATCGATGGGGCTAGGGCTTGAAGCAGATGTTCTGAAAGAGGGAGCAGGAGGGGAGGAGATTGAGTATATGATGAAGATAAACTATTATCCTCCATGTCTTCGCCCTGATCTTACACTTGGGGTGTCTTTCCACACTGATCTTTCAGCCATCACTGTTTTAGAGCCCAATGACGTCCCTGGATTGCAAGTCTTCAAAGATGGCCTTTGGATCAACGCCAAATACATCCCCGGCTCCCTCATTATTCATATAGGCGATCAGATTGAGGTTACATCAATTCCTTTTACTTCATTAAATCTCTCTTTAATTATTTTTTTCGATTGATGATTTTGGAAACTTGCCATTGAATTATTTTTACCCAACTATAATGTTTTGGATGTACATTAAAAGTCATTTATCTATACTCACATAATCGTTTTGACTAGAAAACTTTTAAAAATTATAAAATGATCATTGAATTAATTAAGCTAATACAAAATAGTCATTGTCGAAATGGTTTTCCAAAAGGGAAAAAGGAGTCTCGTTTTGAAATAATTTTTGATGACTTGTTGATGATAAAACGTGGTTCGAGAAGTTGCTACCAATCTTTGACTAGGGTGTGATTGGGCATCCAAAATCATATTTGTCATTTTAATAAAATATTAATTTTAGTTAAAACAACAAACTTGTGGTATGTGTTATCAAAATTTGAGTTCGGGAGTCGATTACGTGTGGGGAAGGATTAGCACCCCCACAACGCCCTAAATCGGTACCTAGTTGATTAATTAGTTGTCTTTGCAATGAAATTTACGAGTTTGAGTCTAATTTAATTTAAGATCCCCTAAAAATAATATTCTCTAAATATTTTGGACGAAACATGATAATATTTAATTATTTCATATTGAGAAGTATCGGTCTCTCATACCTTAAAGTTGATTCTTACTCCGATCGAAATAAAGAAATATTAAAATTTCATTCTAAAGTTCATTCAAAATAGCAACACCCAAAATGATTTTTCAAGAGAAAACGATAATATCTAACTATTTTCAATCGAGAATAAATGACCTCTTATACCTTAAAATAGTCATTTATTACTCCAATCGAAATGAAGAGATATCACTATTTTGCCTTAAAAATCAATATTAATTCGAGAGAAAATGGTAATATCGAATTATTTCCAACCGAGAATAAATGACCTCTTATGCCGTAAAGTAGTCATTTCTTACTCAAACCGAAATGAAAAAATATTATTATTCTCAATATCGATTCAAATGTTATTTTTTTTTAAAACCCACCGGAAAATACACATGCAAAAATAAAGCAAACTAAAAACATATATCAAACAATTATAATTAATTATTTATTTTACCAATATTTAATGAGAATAAGGATGGTCAATTATTAAATATCTCGAGACGATACCATAGATTCAATCTAACAGTCTTTTCTCGAAGAATTTAATTAAAAGAACATGGTCTTTTTCTCAATCCCCGAATTTTAAAATGAATTCAATTTAATTCGTGTCACTAAATGGGATATACTTTCGTTTTAAAATTATCGAAAGTAACTTTCTTATACGTTAAGACAATCACTTTAAATTACTATTAAAATGAACGAATATTACCCTTAGTCAATTTATTTCGATTCGAGTCAAGAGATGCATATGAGGGTATCATACAAAATTAATTAAGGACTAAAATGAACTAACATGCAATCAACATTCAAAAATTAAAATAAAATAAAAATAGGACTAAAACATAAACAATCAAACCATCATATCAAAATTAAAATAAAGTAAAGTATATAAGTGACTAAAATGAGCATGCTTAATAGTGGGGGTGTAACCCCTAGACCGATGCGGGTAACCCGATTCGATCCGGGAAATCACATTAGGGCCATCGGAGCGACCCACTGTAAAAATAGCGAAAAATTTAAAACTTTTTATCAAAACGTAAACTTATAAAATCATTTATCAGTATTCAGAAATAAAATAGATTTTCAGACTTCTATATAAAACAAAATACAATTACATGCCCCCTAATCACATGTACCGTACTCTACAAATAGCACCGGAATAACTCACTTACTGAAGTCGATAGCTGCACTGGTACAATTCTTTTAGCCTGAAAAGATGAGTAACAGAGTGAGCTTTGGAAAGCTCAATAATACAGAACTACCAGATGATGTTGATGAACGTGCATATACATATAAACATATATTTTCTTAACGATTCATACATTTACAGACCTTTATATTGAGCGGAGATCCTACTGATATTTCAGGTGGTAACGGACAATGAGCTTTCAGTTCAGAGAAATATTTTGGATGTTTATGTTCAGGAGATTAGAATAGGTTTTCTAGTGTGTTCCCAAAAACCATGTAACTTTTCAGATCTTTTTAAAACATATATATATATATACCCCCATCCGTCACGAACAAAATGTGTAGGTTCCCTAGAACCATACAACCCCATCACGAATAGTATGGCCTTGAGCACAAAGCCGAGGAGCCTGCAAGTAAGGCCCTGAGCACAAAGTCGAGGAGCCTCCAAGTAATCTTCCTCCAACGATACCCCCAATAAAACATGTTTCGTCCGTAAACGGATATATCAAAAATCAAAACATAATTCAAGTCAAGTATCATATCAAAATCCAAGTCATGTATCAGATCAGAATCCATGTCAATATCATATCAGAATCCAGGTCAAGTATCATAACAGAATTCAAATAAAATATTCATGTAATTAGGGAACACACCAGAGTTTACATGTATTATTTAGAGGTATTGTATCAGGTAGAGAAATACAGTTCTTCAGTATGTCGATAGAATGTTAGAATTTAGAATCACTATTGGAAGAGTTCATTAACTAACAGAATCATCAGTTATTCAGAATGTGAATTGAGCTGATAAGGAAGAAATGAAGGTTCAGGACATTTACAGTCTATGTCGATTGATCAGATTATCAAACAACTCTTAGATGAATAGCTCCCAAAACTAATGCTTGTCGATTGATCAATTCATTGTTCTTCCAGTGTATTTACTTTTTAATACCACAAATTATTGTCCAGAGATCATTTTCGGAATCATCATTGAATAGATCTTCCAATGTCTTTATTTCATTTCAACGTTTCCACAATATCATGTAATGCTGACGTACTTGATTATTTTAATCATAAACCATCGTAATTGTACACTATGTAAACTCATCAGAGTTTCCAGACTTATCCAAATCACTTACTAAATCCTCATTCATTGAGGTTACCTAATTCATTTAGCAGTCATGTCCATTCTCATTATTTCGAGGTTTTTCAGGGTAATTCAGACGTTTCTGAATTTTGGATACATATTGTACTTCCTTTCAATTAAATTCGGTCTTCGTGGTCGATTTGTCTAACAAATATCAAATCCTTACTACTGAATGCGTTCTAGAGTTGAGTTGAGCTGAGCTGATACTTCCAAACTATCATCGTGCCAAACTTGAAAATACAAACACACATTCAAGTGACATCTATGTCGTTCAGGTACTGATATAACACTAGCATTGGTTGCTCGGCTTAATATGTGATCCATAACTTTTAAGATCAGTACCACACCCATGTTTATTTGGATTCCTTAATTACTCCAACATCTACTTAGTCTAGGTCATAAGGGTATTCTGGTTATTTTTGTGTTCAGTTTTATTCCAATCATTACAGAGCTCGAGGATATCCCATTATTCATGAGCTTGGTAATATTCTTGGGTCATTTCCATTACAGGGGTATTCTGGTCATTTTACAAATCTACGGTATTTCAATCTTTTCCTTCCATCCGGTCTTATTATTTAATTCCAATTTATCATCTATTTCAGTCCCTTCGAACAATTCTGATAAAAGAGCACCCTCCGATAAATTGTTCTTCAGGTATTTACTCATAACTCAGATATTTTCGGGTCAAGTGCCTTCTTAGATTTAACAAACGGAATATCATGAATTTTTCTGTACACAGACATGATCTTAACAATTAAATCCATACTTAATCGAGTTAAGTACGAATCCTCAAAGTACTTTCTCATTCAGGGTCAACTCAGATTATTATACCTCTCAAGGGTATTTTTGTAATTTCTTAACCAGATAATTTCGGTATTAAATCTTAACCAAATAATATAATTTAGAGATCCTATGATTAATTGCTTTCCCGAACATTCTTTGATCTTGAAATGATTCTTTAACCTACTTCTAGTATGTTGTACAAACCCTCTTGGGTTTAAAAACGGGTTATCCGTATTTCCTAAGCAAAACTAGCATTTCTTATACACATATGAAATTTTACCGAATCAATATGTCTTTTCAGAGTTATTAACCAACTTTCAGGGATAATTCTTATCATCTTACAATATAAGGGTATTTTCGTAATTTTATCCTATCGAAGTATTCTCATAATTTCCCGTCCAAGTACCTTTAACATTTTACCTTTGATGATATAAAATATAAGTTACAAATCCAGGGTTTATTTCTTATTCACTAATCACAAACTTGTAATTTAATTCTAACAATTCCTCAATCTCTTATATTAGTCATTCGATCCGTATTCAGTTACAGAATTTCTACCACATCCATATCGAGTGTATAAATTATTCGACTCCACAAAAGTGACCAACATTATCTTATTCATGCATTTATCGATATCAACATATTCCATAAAGCATAAAGAGGTAGTAAAGTATTATCTTGATTTTCGTGCAATACTGATCGACCATTAAATTCCATTCGAACACCCTCGATCTTGAAATCATCTTCCAATATTTCCTCGGATCCATATCAACAGAAATTACATCAAAAAGGGAACTTAATTCTGAAAAACGGATCGAATCGGATGATAAATCAGATAAAAACAGCTTACCGGGTTTGAATTTGGCAAAACTGACCTCGGATTCGGATTCAGGACGCCGAAAGCATAAAATATGATGTTTTGAAAATTTAGAATTTTCGGTCAAAAACAAAGTCAACGGGTTTGACTGGAAATTTCGAGGCCTTGCGGTCTGAATTTCAAAAAACGGACTGAGAAATCGGATTTGGAACGTCGAAAAACGTCTGGATAGGTATACTCGGTCAAAGTCAAAGGTCGTTTAATGCCCGGTCAAAGCCGGTCAAAGTTTTGGTCAACTACGGTCAACGGTCAACGGTCAACGGGTCGGGCCAACGGGTCGTGTCGGGTTGGAACCAGTCAAAACAGTTCGAAAACCGATCAAACCGGTCATTTTTTCCTTCCCCACGCGTAGTGGCGGCACGTGGGGACGCGTGGGACCTCTTTCGGCAGCCTATAAATCATGGAAAAATTCCTAAAAATTATTTTAAGCGATTTCGAGGCACTTACAAAGCTCGGTTCACAATTTTGAACGGTGGAGTGCTCAATTTCAACGAATCGAAAACTTCGATCGCTTCACCTTCTCACGCGCCGCCGTCGATGGAGACCAAGGATGACACCAGCAGACTCGGAACGATGCAAGGAACACGATGGTGCGGGAGGTGTCGTAAACGGATCATCAGATCGTTGTGAATCGATGAAAAACCAACTGAAATTGAGTTATTACCGACGATACTTCCGACTGAAATTAACGACGAACGGCGACGATTCACGACGAAAGGTTTGAGGGGTTTTGTTCCTTAGTCGACAACGAACACGATGGTGGTTTCGGTTCGTCGATCGGACGTCGGACGGTGAGTAGATCGGAGTTGAAAGTGGGTTGACCGGAGGAGGAAAATGGAGCATTTCCTGCAGAAAACACTCGGAAGAGAACTTATAATTCTCTCATAAAGGAAAATGGCTAAATTATGAGCTTAGTCACTAAACTTCTTGTACTTCTTAAAACGGTCTGCCAGCTTTAAAATTTTACAATTTAATCCATCGTTTCTTTCAAAATACCAATTAAATCCAATACTTTATAATTTCTAAAATTTAGCCCCTAAATTGGGGTGTTACAGGGGGCTACAATTACAAAGAATAAAAATAAATAAAACATGGGAACTAAATTAAAATAAACTAAAATTGCATGGCCAAATTAAAATAAATAAAAAGATAGATTCTGGTTTGAAATACAAACATACGTAAACTACAAGAGCTATTTCCTAAACATTCCATTTTCCTAGCCTAAAATATACATTCGAATAAAAAAGGAAAAATTACTAAATCAGTCCATAAGTATTTCCTAGCCTAACTGCAATTTTCCGTATTCATTAAAAAAATTTATTGTGTGGCACAACTTTAATAAATTAGTAGTAATTATTTGTTAGTGATTTAATACATTTATTATTATCTATTAGAAAATTAGTAGTTAAATTAAAACTTAAATCAAATCAACATAAGTTAATCATTAATCAAATTTTAACTGAAGTAGATTCGAAAACTAATGAATTATTTAAGTCATTAAGCACCCTTAAGCGAAGTATAGCTTTGAGTGATATAGTTTAGATTTTTTAGTTTTTTTAGTTAAGCCAATTCACTAATAACGCGTAAGAAGGCATCTCCGTACATAAAACTGAGATCTGAAACAGAAGGATGGCCTCATGCTTAAGGAAGTGAGACTGAGCTTCGAGATTGAGATTCTCCGACTCTCAAATTCCCATCTTTTACGACCATGGCAACTCCCAAATCCCTAAAGTCTAAACACAGAACGAGATCCCCATTTCGTCTCCTAATTTTGGGGTTCATTACCGCCACTGCATTGCTGTTCCTGTTGTCCTCCTTGAATTCCACGGCTCCGTTCTCCTTCATCTCTTCCAGAACCCATTTGAAAGGGAAACCGAGGGAGCACTCTCTCCATGACAAGTATTTGTACTGGGGTAACCGAATCGATTGCCCCGGCAAGCATTGTGATTCATGCGAAGGTTTGGGTCATCAAGAATCTAGCCTTAGGTGTGCTCTTGAAGAAGCCATCTTCTTAAACAGGTAATCGGTTGGCTTTGTTTGCGTCTTCGTTTTATCCGCTGACTTAATTTACCTGTATTTCACTAGGCTAGAATCTTTCCTTCTACCCCTTGTAAAATGAACGAGGAAAATTATGGAGACACTTTTATTTTTATTTTTACGTTTTAGGATGTTGAATTAGAAATTGGAGCAATGCCATCTACTTGAGAAAATAGATCTTATCCATTTTAAATAGCGCGTAATGTAATTGTGAAGTTTGGGATTTGTGGTTTTTAATAATAGAGCTTCTTTACCTGAGACCAAGGCTCAAAGAACTAGAAATCACTCCCAAGATTTTACAACTTTGAGATGTAGATGACTATGTTAATGCAAAGCAATAGTATAATCTTTCTCCTATAAGTTATGGTTCATTGGACTGAAGAGTCGATTTTGATTTCACCATGAAGAAAAATGAGGATTCAGTTTTGATTTACAAAAACTTTGCATTTTTTTGTGTTGCTTTATGATATATACATATATAATATGCAGCAGTACATCATGTAAAAGATGCAACTTTCTTATGATTTCATCTGGTGTTGTGTTTCCTTTTGCAGAACTTTCGTCATGCCTTCTAGAATGTGTATCAATCCAATTCACAATGACAAGGGAATCCTCAATAAGGTTGACAACGTAACTGCAGAGGAAAGGTTACTTTTATGAAGTTTTTTCTTTTCCGTGAACTGTTTTAGAAGTTATTTATGTGTTTATTTTTTTCAAGTTTTGTTTTACTTTGATTTTAATCCTAATACAAGATAAATTTTAAGGTGAAGTATCAATTTTCCTTAGTAAATTCAACAATGATGTAGAGAACTGGACAATCTAAACTTGCCTTTCTCATTGGGCAGGTGGGCTACAGCCTTTTGTGCCATGGATTCTTTATATGATATTGACATGATATCTGAAACTGTACCTGTAATCTTAGACAATACAGATGCATGGCATCTGATTCTTTCAACAAGTATGAAATTGGGAGCTAGAGGGGTTGCCCATGTTGAAGGACTCACACGGGTTGATCTCAAGAAGGATAGTCGTTACTCAAACCTCTTACTCATTAACCGAACTGCAAGCCCTTTGTCATGGTACATCATGGAAATTGATTTCATATTATGTAATTGATTGCCTAATTCGCTTTTCGTTATGTCTACAACACCATAGTGACTCGGAGGGGAGGCAAACCGGGTGTAGATTAAGTAAAATTATCTTATATGTATCCATCAGTATTCATTAAACAAACTTTGAGTAGTTTTATACAAATAAATTAAGATATCGTATTTGTTAAAAGTTCTCTGTGACACTAATCTGTCATAATTACTCAGGTTTGCTGAGTGCAAGGATCGAACGAACCGCAGTGCTATTATATTGCCATATTCATTTCTTCCTTCAATGGCAGCAAAAAAGTTAAGAATTGCGGCTGACAAGGTTTTCTTTAATCCTCTTTTTCATGTTATCTTTAGAATCTTCTAGATGGCATTTAACAATAATTGATTAACCAGTCAAGTATCTCTTACCCATGTAGCATTTACCGGCTAGTGGAAATGGAATGTGCTTTTGTCTTTTTAATGGAGAGAAAACTGTAAACGAGTTTGTTAATCAAATGCATGAATATCTCATATACAAACATCATTAATTTCTGGTGGATACAGGGTATACACATGATTGTCTATGCAAGATGTCTCTCTCTATATTCTTCAGCATCTTCAATGCAAAATATTGTCAAATAATTTGTTGTTGCAGAAATTAGTTTACATCTCTTTTTTCTGCTTGATCTTTTCTTGTAATTGTATCTTGTCGCGTAGCCTATTTAGTTTGGTGATGAGGGACAGAAAGAAACTAGTGGAAGATTTAATTATCGAGGATTCTTTCATGTTTCTTTATTTTATTTTAGGGGTGTAATTGTGAATTTGATCTATATTATAAGATATATGAATATTTTGATTATTCTATATTGATTAATATTTTACTTATGTTCTTAGTAAGTACCTTGGCTTAAGGATTATATTTGTATTTCTGTTTCTACTAGAGCTTATGGTTTTGTATAAAAACTTTGTTCATTCAGTTTGTCTAAATGTTAAGGATTACATCTTTACCAAGTGAGCCATTTAATAGTTGCTGCTGGTATCCAACAAATTTCCTTCTCTTTTATATTCTACTTCTGCAGTCGCTAAAAGGCTGACTTGTGTTTTTAGTCTATTCTGTGTTCCCTTATTCTGTCTAGCAACTCTCATTCTCATTTCACATTTACTTTCTCTATGATAAACTCTTATTTCTCTCTTTGAGCCTTGAACTCTTTTTTTTTTTGGTAGAAGTTGAAGGTCTCATTAAAAACTCCCTTCGTATTCGTTCACATACTAAGAAGTATGTTAGCGAACATTGGAAGGAAGAAAAGAGTACCTCATAGTTTATTAATAATAATACCCAATACATAAGACTCCACGGAATATCCTCCTATGGTGATATACACCATTACAACAAACACCTTAAACTCACACATCCTCATCCAAAATCCACAGTCGACTATCACCTTATTTCTATGATAAACTCTTATTTCTCTCTTTGAGCCTTGAACTCTTTAAAACAAATTCACACATACTACTGAATATATCTTTTGCTTTTGGTTTCCTTTTTAATGGATTTTTTAGAAAGGTTGTGGGTTGCTTGAGGTAGAGAATGTACGTGGTTTAGTTTTTTTTTTTTTTTGTAGCATCATGAATTTAGATGTGTATTTTCTCTTACAAAAAGTCCTGTTCAATAAATCCCTAAAGAACTAAGGAACTTCAGTTGCATTATTAATTTTCAAATGAATTGTTAATGAGCTAGGATTAGCAAATTGAATAACTAATCTGATTAAATCTCCATTTTAAGAGAAATTGCTCTTTACAAGTAATTTCTGCAAAACTGTTTTAATAGGTTCTGCTTATCTTTTTGGAAATATCTATTTAATATGAAGAACCCGACAGCTAATTACTTTTTCCCTGTCCACAGATTAAAAGTCTCCTCGGTGACTATGATGCTATCCATGTTCGCCGAGGTGATAAAATAAAAACAAGGAAGGATAGGTATGGTGTTAAAAGGAGCTTACATCCTCATTTGGATAGGGACACCCGCCCAGAATTTATCCTTCGCAGGATTCAGAAGTGGGTACCATCTGGTCGAACACTTTTTATTGCTTCAAATGAGAGATCACCTGGATTTTTTTTGCCCCTTTCTGTCAGGTAAAATCATTTCTTGTCCTATGGTATGTTTAAGATTTAGAACCCATTATGACATTCTCCATCTTTGATGTAGATTCAATTTCTCCTTTAATATTTTCAGTTCAGCTATGAAATGAATATCTATTATGCCAAATTTTTCCTTTAAGAATTCCTACTTTGTGTCAAATGATGTTTTCTTATGCATGTTCACATGGCTTCTTTTTCTTTTTATCTTTTGTTAACATTTGAATGAATCACAAGGTATAGTGCTGGGAGGATGATAGACCTGTATTACATTGTGGCAAAAGTTTTTCTGATATTATTGTTTAACGCCTCATACTTTTATGGTTTGTATAATTGCACCCTATGTTATTTCCTATTTTTGCAAATAATAGCCAGTACTTTATTTCTTTAGGCAAAAGTAACCTTATCACCTTACTTTTTAGTGGAAAGAAAAATTGGGAGAGATGGAAAATTGGACGAGGAGAAAAGTGGAAAGATATATATATATATAGTGATATGATCCAATTACACAATGTAAAAATATTTAGGACCGTTTGATGAGTGAAAATATATGGTTGAGATTAACGGTAAAAATTGTGATGATATTCACTTAAAAAAGAAACAAGAAGTTAATCCCAGTTGTCCATTTTCACTCATCCATCGGTCCTAAATCTGTGTAAAACTAAAATAGTTTTACCTTGTACAAGTGGATCCTAATCCGTATATATATATATATACACATTTCCATTGATGGCTGATGGGCAAGGTTTTAAAGGTTACTTGGTAGAATAGAAAAATAAAATGAAATAAAATGAAAACTTAAAAAAGAACACTTATAACGTTTATTATCTATTCATCTTCTCTCCTTATTATTCCAATTTGGAATTATTTGATTTTATGCGTTAGGATAGAAAATGATAATTTGTGCTATATTTTCCTACCAAGCATACTAAATTTAATTTTTTTCTACTTTTCCGCTGTCCTTTTTCCATCCTTTCACTTTCCTAATCTACCAAGGACATCTTAAGTGCTATTAATAAAAGGTATTTTTGTTGCTGTTGGTTGAAATTTTGGGGGGTAGGATTTAATTCAATTGTCTGCAAGTTGTCTGTTTAATTGTGGTGCTATTGGTCTGTAACCAACAAAATGTTTAGTGAAATCAGCTAAGGAAATGAACTAAGTGCTGGTCTCTGGAAGTTACCTTGATTTTGTTGGTTTAGAACATTTGCGCTTACTTTGGTTTAATTGGCTGCTTTCAGGTACAAACTAGCTTATTCATCAAATTATAGCCATATTTTGAATCCTTTGATAGAGAACAATTACCAGTTATTCATAATTGAGAGGCTTGTATTGATGGGAGCCAAAACATTCATCAAGACTTTCAAGGAAGATGATACAGATCTCAGCCTAACCGATGACCCAAAGAAGAATACCAAGTTGTGGCAAATTCCTGTTTATACGTTGGATGGCGAGGAAAGCTAACTTCCCTATTATAGTTCAAAATCATTCCGTAGGCGAATTACCTTCAACGTGTAGTGTATTATTTTGCGAATTGATCTTCCTTTTGGAAACAATTCGAATATTTTGTTGAGTTGCATTACAGGGTGTTGCAGCTACATTGCTGAGAATCAAAGAGTCCTGGGAAAAGGAGGGGGGATTTGGCAAATGTAAATTGTGTTGTCTAGGTAAATGATTATATGCTTCTAAAGACACTTTTTTTTAGGCCATAAAATTCAGTAATTCACATGAAACAGTTTCTCTTTTGTTTATTTATTTAGTTGGGAGTGTATTTCATGGATCTTCTTTCTCACTTCTCAGGAGTTTAAAAATAAATTAGACAGGATCAAACACCTATGAAACCATTTTTTTTTCAAAAGAAAATTTTAGAAAATCTCATTTTAAAATATTCGAGTTTGGGTTATAGAAACCAGAGAACGAAAACAAAAATAAATCTGTCAGGAATGGTTAATAATGGTTAACAACCTTTAACGCTCAAATTTGGTGTATAATTGATTATATGTTACTCTAATAATGAATTTTACGAGTTCAAATTTAATTTAAATTATAATCTTTTATAAATATGAATTTATTTAAATGGTGTGAAATTAATTTGAAAAATATAAATTATTGATTAAATCCCTTCGAAATTAAACGACGTAGTTCCGTTGCCTTTTTTAAAATTATGTTATTTCATTTCAAAAAAATTAGCAAAGATCACACTCCAGTTATTTATAGGAATATCTTATTAATTCTCTAATAATAGAACGTAACCTTAATGTTTCTAATTAAATCTACAATATACAATACAAGAAGAATTATTAAATAACATGAATGAAACATACATCAAATACATGTGATAAATGAAAATAGTAGTATTAGTGATTAATTATATCAATTAACTACTGCATATATTAAAATTAAAGTTTTAAAAAAACTATATAAGTATTAAGGTTCTATTAAATTTATTAAAATTTATCATAGAGATTAAAATTAGGTGTCTAAAAATATATTAAAATTTTTAAAATACTAAAAATAATTTAAGTGTCTAAAGTATACCTAAAATTTAACTTTAGTTGTCTAAACAATTTTTCGTTAAAATAGTTGTCTACCGTTTTCAATGCTACATATTAAGGTGCTTAGATCGTAACCATCATTAAATTTGATCGTTACTTGACACGTGTCAAGCATATAAAATTTAAAAAACATATATTAAAAAACACTTAAAGTCATTTAAAAAACCTTTTTTTTTGAAATTATGAAAAATCCTTAAATCTTGAAAAACCCTAATTTCAATCCCCTTATCACCACCGGCTACCAGTAACGCCGTCAATTGACCAAAATCTCCACGGTGCACGATTGCATGAATAACCATTGGTCAAACCCCTATGCTTCAAGCGACGATTGTAGCGTAAAATGAGAAATTTCAAATACTTATTGATTTCGATTAAGAGTAATGACTCCAATGATTCAAGCGACGATTCCTCCCGTCGTGCGTTGGAATCTTGTTAGATGAAGTGACCGATGACAAAAGGAGATGACCAAGGCAACATCGACGTGATCGATTGGATAAAGGGGGTATGGAATTAGGATTTTTAGAGTTTTGGGATTTTTAGAGTTTTAATAAAATTTAGGGTTTTAATAAATAAATTATATTTTTTATTTTTATATTTTAAAATAATTTTTTAAAATTTTTATAAGCTTGACACGTGTTACTTAACAATCGAATTTGAAGACAATCGTCTAAAAAAGTAACATCAAAATCGTTAGACACCTATTTTTAACGAAAACTTTTTAAGCACCTAAAGTTAACTTTTGGTATAGTTTGGGTGCTTATTTTTACATTAAGCCAAATACTTTATATATATATATAGGCTTAATATAAAAACAACTACTCAAATTATACCGTCTTTTCCATTTAGGTGTTTAAATTATTTTTCAGTCAATCTAAATGTCTGATCTTACTAACTTTACTATTTTAAGTCTTCTTACTATAACAATACTTAAAAATGCCATTCATTTATATTCTAACACGTGGCAGTGATCTTAATTTTTTTTAAATTAAGTATATAAAAAATTAAAATAAATAAAATATTAAAACTAATATTTTAACCTAAAACTAAAAATCTAAAGTTGCCGTGCATTAACCTGCCATCTTCTCTCAAACTCTTCTCCTTTTGTCACGAATTCCACAAAATGAATTACGTTTCCTCAATATTTTCTAAAAACTATTTTATGATATTCAAATGATGTTGTGTAATTCATTTTCACTATTTAGTAATTTTTTAGAAATTATTTATTATAAATATAAAATATAATAAATAATATTATTTATTAACAAAATAATAATACTTTTTAAAATATTAGAATAATTTTTCAATATTATTTATGTCAATATTATTATTAAAATATTATATCTAAAATTGTATAAATAAAAATATTAAGATTATTATATTTGATTAAAATAAAATTATTAAAAATTATATTAATTATTTATTAAAATAAGAATCATATATTATTAATTATATTAATTACTTATTAAAATAATAATACCATTAAAGTATTAAAAATAATAATATTTAAATGATAATATTATATTATATTTTCAGGATTATATTTTAAATGTTTAATAATTCAATAATATAATTTTTATGAAATTAATAAATAATATTAATTTTATTAATAAATTATTATATATTATTAAATTAAATTTATAATATTATATATAATATAATTATAACTATAAAAAATATTATATTATAATATTAAAATTATCAATAAATAGAATTTAATAACTAATATTTTTATTAAAATGATACTAAAATAATATATTAATATTAAATATATGAAAAATAATGTTTTGAGTGTTTATGATTCGAAGTGAAAAATTCATAAAATGACTTATGAAAAATCAGATCGTAAGTCATTTTCTAGAAAATGCAAAGGAAATTTAGTTAACAAGGAAAATGAATTACATTAACCATCTATTTTTCCATCAACCAAACACTGGAAAATGAGGAATTTTCCCCCAGAAAACCAATTACATTGAAAACAAACAAACCCTAATTTTAGGAATAAGAGGGTTGATTTATTCACTAAGACTTAAATTTATTCTTAATAAATATCTCTCTTTTTTATTCGTAAAATTATGTTTTTTTTATAAATTCTAAATCTAATCCTAATCCTACTTAGAGGGGAGGAGAAAGATGGACTCTAGGGGAAAGAATGAGAGTACTCCTAGTGAGTATAGAATCCACGACCTAAGAAAATATGAGATAACAAAGATGCATCTTAACCAACCAATCAAATATACCTAAATAAATCATGTTGATAAGAAATTTGGTAGAACAAAATAATTTAAATACAAAAAACAGAATATGCCACAAATAAACTCACAAAATACAAAGCAATTACATAATTCATTACTACTTTACATATTTTGTAATAATCCTAAACATCTAAAATAGACATTTCGTCCTATTTAATCCGTTCATATTGAATTGTTTCTTGTGAATCTTAGTACATGTTAAAATTGATCCATTCATAATTGTTGATCCTGTTTTAGAAAGTGCAAATAGCATGGTATAAGCTTCAAACCATAATCATTCATAATAGAAGCCTTTGTGCGGTTATTGACAACCCCGTGAAGCTATTTATTCTTGCTAATTGAAGCATATTCATTGTCATTGGCTGGTATTTCTATACTTCACAATTCTCTAATCAAGTAGAAGAAACCCAATTTCTAACTAATTGTATATTTATTTTATAATCAGTGATGGATCGAAGGAGGCGGGTGAGGTCAGTAGCCCCTGAAAATTTTAAATTAATATATAATTTAGATATTTTCTTTGTATTTTCAATTGATAATATGTTTTTTTAGTGAAGTTACATGTGTTGTGTGTTGATTGGTTGTTGAGCCTGTTAAGAGTATGTTTGACCGAGTTGTGCATGCTTTATATAGTCTATATAGCCTTGTACTTGCAGAGCACTTTTACATTCAATAACAAATACTTTATTCTACTTTCTTCCTCCAAGTTTCATATTTGAGTAAATTCATTATGGTATCATTTGCCATAAGGACCTGAGGTTTCTTCATTTTTTTCTTTGGATCTTTTGTTGCACTAGTGTCAGAAGGTTTTCATGGAGTATTCTGCGACCAACACCAAGACCTTCACGAACAAGAAGGTTAATGTCATCCTTGGCGAGATGAACTTCTTGCTTTGGAAGCAACAAGTTTTGCTTACAGTTCGGAGTCATTGGTTGGAGCAGTTTTTGACCGGATCTATGCTCTCTCCACTGAAAACCGCTGTCAATGATGCTGGTGACATTGTGTCGAATGATTTGTATGAGGAATTCATCGCTCAAGATAGTACGCTTTCATCGTGGCTCCTGTCGACGATCACTCCTCATCTCCTACCTCAGTTTGTTGGCGCAGAGACAGCGACGGTTGTGTGGAGCACCGTCCTTCAATTCTTTGCTAATCGCTCTACCACCGTGGTGATGAGTTTGCATTATAAACTGCAGTATCTTAAGAAAGGTAACGATTCTATGCAAACATATCTCACTCGTGTCAAAGAATTGTGATGCGTTAGCATCATGTAGCAGTAATGTCTCTCAGGATGATCACATTATTAGTATTTTGAAATGCTTGCCCCGAGAATATCAATCCTTTGAGGCGGTTATAACCACCATAGGGGACTCTCTGTCTCTTGATAAAATTTCCTCCATGTTGATTGATGGGGAGACGTAGCTTGCTGGATTTGAAGCAGGTAATGAGTTGTTACCCATGAGTGCAAGTCTTGTTCAATGTGAGTTTCGAAGCAAATCCTCTTATGTGCGTGATGGTTATACCTCTAATGATCATAGAGGTGCTCGCTCGGTTTCTTATTCTGATGGACGGGTTGGTGGACGAGGTCGTACGAGGCCTCGGGTGCAGTGCCAGCTTTGCGGCAAGAATGGTCACTTGGTGGACCGGTGTTGGTACATGTTTGACCATGACTTTCTTGGTGTTACATCTGATCGTTTGAGTCACAAGGAGAACTCAGGCAGTGTGCATTACTCCAATCTGGAAGAAGCTTCCTCCAGGTGTGAGAACTGTTCCAAATGTGCTAAAGGACGAATGTAGTCGCAGTCTCATGTTGCAACTGTCTCTCGTGATCAGTGGGTAAT